CGAGCAGTTGCCTACGGGTAAACCTGACGGTAATGACGGCTTCGTAGAAGAGTTGTTTCAACGATTTGAGGTGGTGAGGAATAACAGCTGTCTATTAGGTAGGGCTGTTGTCCATTTCACGATACGCTGAGCCTCTCTGATTTACCGTGACTCCGTAATATGCTGTTTTATCGTGAAATGTTTGGCTTGCAAGTAAACTTATTCATAATCTCGGTGGGAATATGACTGCCACTAGCTGTGTACGTAACAACGTGATACACGTGGTGCAGCAACTTACACGTTGGCGTAGGTCTGGCAGGGGTGATTGGCTTAATCAGCTGGTCCGATGTCGCCGTGAGCCGCACCGGCGACGAGTACGCTGTACGCGACCATGTACTGGACGACGAGTCGCCGTCACCCTTCAGGGGTGCATGGCCAAACTGCTTCGCCCTCTGACTGCGTCGAAGATGGATCTGTCTTGCCATGACCGACCTGCGCTGCGTGACCAGTTCACACTAAAACAATGCAACATCGTACGACGTAGCGGAGGGGACACGGGACATTGCCTTATGGCATGTGCATTCTTGGTATGGGCATATCTTCTTATGTCCCTTCAGCGGAGGAGGCTCGACGTCGCGAACGTGGACTCCACAACGCGCACACTTCGGATTCCGTCCCTTCACTAGAAAACATCACAATAAGCTTCAGCGTTACGTCATACGGTCTTCGGCAAGATGCAGTTCAAGCTACGACCATAACGCGACATCGAACATTCGTATGGACAAATTTGGACGCCATCTTTTGCGCGTTTTTTCACAACAACCAACGCGTATTATTTACGATGGAGAACTGTTGTGACGGGGTATTGCTGAAGATTCGAAAGCTTAAGTTATGTCTACTTTAAAAGTGATCAGCGTGATTATAATTGAAGCCGGTCGATGGAAATAGTTTCTTCATAAACGATTTAATGGTTCGTGAAACATATAAAGGTTGGCAGTTAAGTACATCGATTTGGCTACGAAAGATGGTATGAGAACGCCTGACCTACAGTAGCGTACAGTACAATCAGCGGTGCTAGTGGAGGATGACAAGTGTTCTACGGTACATCCCTGAATAACGGTAAAGAGATAACACCCCACTTTTCTCATTGCCTATTTATTTATTACCGAAAACAATCACGCTACACCCAGGAAACTTTCACTCGAGGCTGAAGCCTTCCATAAACGTTTCTGATGCAAGTACAAAATACCATTCAACGTTGCCAGTTCTGGACAAAGCGACGCCGCACAAGTGGTATACCGGAATACCGGTTGTGAATGGCAGTGAAAGCTTCCTTTAACGTTAAATATGTTCAATAAGTGCAAAGCATTCAACTCCATCCAGATGGGCAATGAGTGAGGAAGTTAATTTAATGCGTAACTTGTTTGAGACCATTAGTTAGAAATAAGGACAAACAGACATATGAAAATTAACTTTTGTTTTATCTTTTGAGCATAAGCCAAGCGTCATACCTTTATTCATAGAATGACAGCTAAAACACTAGCTAACTCTGAAAAGTTATTAATTAATATGTATCAGTTTCATTAACCATGTTATAATGGTTGGAATTCGATATTAAATAGCCAATTAACTTTCGCACTAAATTTACAACGCGGTCTTCATTCGATCACGCTGTCTAGAAAGCCTAAACAGTATCATCAGTAGTTATTTGCCCTGCCATTACTCAGATTGCAAAACCTGATAGTGCAGTCTGCGCCTACATTGTCTCAGGATAACTTACCTTGTTAAATTCATTATGGTTCATAAGGGACCTTTCAATATTTGTGAAGTGTATGCGAAGAAACTAAATAAATGGGCTTGCTTTACGATCTATACGCGTGCAGTGACGGGAAAAAAACCAACGTTCTAATCAACGTTTCGTGCTTGAAAAATAGACAGTTATGCGACTTGATACCTGTTCTTTGAGAAGCAATTAAGACAAATTGTGGAAAGAAAAAGTATGCTTGATCAGATTGCTGTGACATTCAGGACGGTGTCCTTTAAATCTAGCGCAAGCTGTTCGCCCATTCAGACAGAAGTTACTTTGCCAAAAGCCAGTACATGTTTATCGACAAACAGCATCACATAAGTAAATCGCTATTACAGGCCCAATGTCGTTCATTCTGAGGGAAGAAATTGTTTTGCAGTGTTCGTAAAATGAAAAGAACCACTAGGAATGCAATTTTGCAAACAGCTAAGGCAAGCAAAACACGAAATGATTAAGTGACTTCAATCAGAATAATTCTATGTACTTTTAAGGGCACTGTAAACGTTAAGGCCATTTCAATTTCACTGTAAACCTTTGCAAGTTAATTCAACAGTAAATGTCAACTGCAGACGTGAGAAAAAGCATCACGCGCGTTCCATTTTAATGAAGTTTTTCCTTTCATCACTTCAGGTCAGGGAAAAGAACGGTTCAATAGGATATGCAACTGATGCAGTTATTGCAACCAAAATGCTGAAAACTGAAGATAAACGTGAAAAAGATCGTATAAGAGAAGTTTCGAGGTAAGAAATTAAATGTACCGCATCTGTTTTGTGAAAATTTTTACTTCTGACGCCCCCCTCCCACTGGGAACATGAGAAAGTCTGGCTTATTTTTGAAGCGAAAGCAGCGTTTCAGCCCATCTGTTTTAGCAATGGCAGAAAAATCAAAATCGTTTTGAGCAGAAGAATCGTGGTGAGGTCACGAAAATAGACAGTTGTACCAATGAACTCGTTCATTATGTGATGACTTCTTCGCATTCTGGCCGGCTTTAACAAAGCCATTGTCAAAACAAAACGCAACCACTCTTTCACGGTTTGTCATACAGTCGCAACCACGCATCTACCTGCAACTCTACGACATGCAGGCCAGTTTCATACGTGATAACATTCTGCAGAAACAGTGAATTTTGATACATGCTGGAGGAAACAATATGGACATCAGATGCTTGGAGAAAACGTCAAATGAATGAACTTTCTCAGGCGCTGAACTGGATAAAATGCTAGAGAAGCGCCGTGGATAAAATCGCCTGAAACATTCTTGTCGCTCTGTGACCAAACTGAGCAATGTAGCACCAAAGGAG